GAGAACCTACCATTTGCCATGCTCTTATAATTTTGTCACTAAATATGTTATATTTATTTGAAATATCACTATATTTTCTTCCAAAAGTCTAATATAATTCTATCGGTGAGAATTTTTCTTCTATATTATAATTATTTTATTCTTCTCATTTATTTATGTTTGAATAAATTTAAAAAGATATACTTCTCTCTAATTTTTTTGAAGAACAAATGTAATATAAAAATCTTACTATATGTCCCCTTAATAGATACATCCACGATCTATAATGTAGAAATCAAGTCTCACGAACACAAAATTAAGAACTCAATAATAAAAATAACTCTTTTATTACTCTTTTGAGGAAAATCTTTCAAACCCTTAAGATCTCTCAAACACTGATAAAACTCATAAATTATGCCACACATTGGCATCTCCTTATAGATGAATTAGATATCTTCAAATCTCTATGAACTTAACATATTTCTATATTTCATTTTACTAATCCTTTTACTAAACCATAAATCAATAGGATTAGGTCATTAACTTGTATCTCAAGCTTCCTTTTCTTTCAAACTTAATGCAACATTTTCCCTTATAAACTTGAAACTCTTTGTTGTCAATTCTTTCAATCCATGAAATCTCTCATCTCCTTGAACATGATTCTTTCTAGAGCCTTTGTTAAGATATATGCCTTTTGTTTATCTCCCTCAACGTATTCAACTTCTACTTGGATGTTTTTCACACACTCGCGGATAAAGTGATACCTTCTGTCTATATTCTTACTTTTCCCATGAAATACCGAATTTCTTGTCAATGCAATCTCAGATTGGTTGTCAATACGTATCAACACATGTTCACATAGTTGTCCGGTTACCTCACTCAGTAGATCTTGTAGTCATATTGCTTGTTTTGCAGCTTCTTTCCAAGGATCCAGCCATGAATTCGGATTCACACGATGATAAGGCAATTGTATCCTGCTTTTTTTAACACCATGTAATGGGAATTTTACCAAGTTAAAATATGTGATCATTCGTGCTCTTATCATCGTCTGGGTCAGCATTATAGCTAGTATCGCTATAACAAATGAGCTTAGGTATCTTTGTTGTGGAGTGCTCGAACATCAATCCATATGTGGTGCTACCTTGTAGATATCTCAACACTTGTTTCATAGCAGCTCCATGTGACTCTCGTGGGTTCTGCATGTAACAGCTCAGATTCCAACGTTAAAACACAACTCAGGTCTCGTATGTAGCAAATAAAATCTTTATAAGATTTCAATAATTCGTGTTGTTCAACAAATGAGAGGTTACATGAGTTTATATATCTGAGTTACAAGGGTTTTCTAAGAGAAAAAAAGCGTGTGTGGTCAAAGGAGGTAAGGAGACCTTGGTTCAAACAAGTGGCTCAGATCACACACATGCTTGATGCCTTTGGCATCTTGACCAGATTCCAAAGCACTTTACAGCAAGCATGAGCATGGCTAAGGGAAGAACCTTATCCCCATCACTAATCCACGCGGTAACCAAGCCTTCTTTCTCCGAGAGAGTCTTTCACCATTCCTCATTTTTACCTTGCCAAGGTAAATCCAACCTCAGTAACACTTTATTACTGTGGTAACAAAGTGAATAGTAAATGGTAAAAACTCCTCAACACTTCTATTCACAACCCTTCTCTTGTCTTCCATAATCACTCTAGCAATGATTTAAAATGTTGACCGTTTCTTGCAAAATTTGCAAGGTTTTGTTTATGTTACAAAAAGTGCAATTTAGCAATAAAACCATGCAACATATATTACGGTTGTGATTTTGCAATATATTTGTAGTGAAATCGGGACGAATATGTAATATTGTAAATATATTGCAATAATCATAACAAATTAATTACATAAATGGATATGGCAATTTTTTGTTGCAATATTGTTAATTTCTTATAGTGAGATTTCCAAACTCTCTCCAATGTCTCGACTTTGAGAGGTACCCTAGAATCCTCCGGCAACGGATCCCTCTCCCTCACTCTTGAAACTAAAGTACAAAAGTCATCCTAACACCCACTTCAAAGCAATCAAATATGAAAGGACGAAAAAACTAAAAACTCACTCCGACGAGTCTTTTTGGGACGAACCGGAGCCGCCAACCCGATGGGCGCGGCACGACCTTGACCCGGTGGAAGAGCGAGAGCAGCTCGGATACGCCCTGTTGGGGTCAAAATCGGTACGACGGAATCAATAGCCAAAACTCCCCGCAAAAATACAAAAGGAATAGTTTTATAAAAACCGAGGAGTCGTTTTATAAAACTAGAAGTCATTTCTAAAACTCGCAGACCGTTTTATAAAACTCGAGGAACCGTTTTATAAAACTCGAAGATCGTTTTATAAAACTCGAAGATCGTTTTATAAAACTCGAAGATCGATTTATAAAACTCGAGAAGCCGTTTTATAAAACTCGAGAAGCCGTTTTATAAAACTCGAAGAATCGTTTTATAAAACTCAAAGATCGTTTTATAAAACTAGAGGAGCTGTTTTATAAAACTCGAAGAATCGTTTTATAAAACTCGAAGATCGTTTTATAAAACTCAAGAAGCCGTTTTATAAAACTCAAAGATCGTTTTATAAAACTCGAAGATCGTTTTATAAAACTCGAAGATCGTTTTATAAAACTCGAAGATCGTTTTATAAAACTCGAAGATCGTTTTATAAACTCGAAGATCGTTTTATAAAACTCGAGAATCGTTTTATGAAACCGCAAAAAACCGAAACAGCCGTAAAACGCGAACTAGTCGCAACTAGTTCGCCGATGGGCGAACTAGGAGGCCCATGACTAGTTCGCCGGTGGGCGAACTAGTCACGTCTCGACTAGTTCGCCCACCGGCGAACTAAGCCAGCCAGCTTAGTTCGCCGCTGGACGAACTAAAGACTTCCTGAACGTCCCGAGCCTCGATCTCCCGCATCCCCGATTCGAAACTTACGTCTTTCGACACGGAAGAAAAGGAAGGATCGAGAAAAATGGAAAATTCCCGATATAGTCAAATCTGGACGAAATGGAAAGACCGAATGGCCAAGGCGAGGAGTATATAAATAAGAGGTCTAGGGCAGAAGCAAGGGACACGATTTTCAGAGCTCTCACCACTGAAATTAGCAATTAGGAATATTTCCGTTTTCTGTTAGCGAGCTGCGTCTCAATTAGGGTTTTCGTTCTTAGATTTCTAAGGATTTTGCCGACGGCTCACGCAGCTTAGGCCTCTTTCGTTGTACCAGTTCTTACGCAGATTCAGAATAAGAACCTTCTTGCTTTCAATCTCGTTCATTCTCGTTTTAATTTTAAAGTTCATCGTTTTCTTAATACTCGTTGTGCGGTTCTGCAGATAGCCAGATCCTCTGGAAACTTAGGGTTTTCCCGAAGTTTCTTTTTTTACGATTATTTGACAGTAGGTGGATTTCGATTCCCACACGTCCCGCGATGAAAGCAAGCTAACGAGGCCGACCTCAATACAAGACTTCGATCAACCCTCGATGTTCGGAAGTCGTCGGATCACTTGTATGACATACCTTGACTCGTTGAACTAGTCTCTCGTATTCAAAGACTTGTATGAAGTCTCTTGAACCACTTACACTCCTAACTCTTTAGTGTTTTGCTTCACCTTACACTGATTTGCAAAAATTCTCTTAGTCAAAAGATCCCGAAGTGTGTTGACCAAAATATTAGATGCCTAATGCCTAATGTATCTTTGTACTAAGAGGTAACCCTAAATATTAAGGTATACAAATCTTGTAACTTTTCTTTTTATATTTTCAGCAAATAAGTTAGTCTTTTTTGTTCTTCTATAAAACATCAATTACTTCTTTTCTACGACTTCTCTTAAGCTTTTCCACGTATATCTTTCTTTATTGATCGCACCTAATGGCACTTTGAAAAACAGTTCATCCGGTTCCATGTCACACATTTTATTTATATAGTAGCTCATGTTACACTTTATGAACTATTTCAGCTTTGACTCTGGGTCATATTTAAGAAAAAACTGAATATATTATCCAATTTTGTTAGGGCTGTTCAATATGGTAATATCGAACCGTACCGAACTGAACCGAACCGAAATAAAGAATATGGTTTGGATTTGGTATATACCATATAAATCGAATGGATATGATTTTATAAAAACCGTAGGATTTGGATATGGTTAGGTTTATAACCGATTAAACCGAATAAACCTAACAAAACCGATTAAAGAAAAAATATATAAATATATACGTTATATAACCATTTATTTTCTTGGAATAGTCTTTTTTTTAAAAAAAAATTCATTCCTTGTGAAGATATATCTTAATAATTTTATTTTATTTTCTTCAATTATTATTTAAATTTGATTTGATTTTGCATGTCGTAATAAATTGTGAAATTAGATTGTACCATGTAATTTATTTGGAAGAACAAAGAGAAAATAAGAAAAACTATACAAAACTGAATCATTGGTCGTTTTGTTTGTTGTTAATTTCACATTTTTATATTTATGAACACCTAGTAATATTTTAATAAATGATATTTTTGACAATATGTTTTTTTTAATTCATATAATATGAAACCAAATCAAATAATAATGTTATTTGGTATAAAACTGAATAAATCGAAAACCGGTAGTATAAATACCGAACCAAACCAAATTAAATATGGTTCCAATATGATAGCTAATTTTTATAAATCGAATAATCGAAAACCGAAAAAAACCGAACCGAAACCGGACCCAACACCAGATTGAACAGGCCTAAATTTTGTGCTAAATACATCCGCCGCCCAATAAATATAGAATATAAGAAAAAATTAAGACTTGCTGATAAAAAATGTGCTAATAAATATAGATATAATGGGCGTTTGATATCGCCGGAGTGAAATAAAAGGGAGACGGGTTCTGGTTTTCCCAACTTTTAAAAATTGCAACTGAACTCTAACCGGTATCTTGACCGTTCGGTTTATGTCAGTTAGGATATAGTTCGGTTAATGCTTCAATTCTCATACAGAGAGAGAGATCAACAAAGTCTAATAGCATCGTCGACGTGTACCCCTATCACACAATCTCTCTCCGATCGACGCCAAAAGCAATTTACATCGGAGAAGATGCAGCAGAGGAAAGCGACGGCGGCGGGTAGGCCAAGTGGCACCGATGGATCTGATTTCTCATACCGAATGGTCGTTGACTCTCGTGAGTTTTATTTACATAAACCCAATCCTCCGATTCCTGTTTTTTCTCTCGATTCCTTCTTTAATCCCACCACGCGCCTCGATATTTGTGTTGTCAGGTTACACGAAGGTCACTAAAGGGAGATCGCGTCTGCGTCTTTTGATCCTTGTTCAGGTACGTTTCCTTTGATTAGGTCCTGAAATTCGATTTTATAAAAATGCATTTCGTTGGTTACTGAACTGCCTGCTAATTCATGGTTTTTTAAATCAATCTTAATGTTGTTGAAGTTGATCCTACCAATAAAATAACTCAATCTTTGAAGTATGTGTAGCTCAAATCTTTCAGGTTCTTGTTTGCAGGCTACGATTTATCTAATTGGACTGTCGTGTGCATTCATGACAACTACTAAAAATGATGAGAGGAACACACTTGGAATTGCATCTGCTGCTATTGGCTTACTCTTTTCATTCATTGGAGATTTTGGTTAACCTTCTTTTCACACTGTAACCATCTTTTTTTTTTTATAATTTCTATATCTTTGTTGTTGTTTCTGTTGAAAAAGGTTGCAGACGCAGCAGAGTAAACCTTTTGAGGCTCTACACGGCTGCCTCCACCGTTGTCATGGTTCTTTCTGTGTTTTCTGCTGTTAGGAGCAGGTTAACAATGGAGGTAAATTTCTCTAACTCCCAACATACTTTACATTTAGAGCCACATTAACAGTAGTCTTAAGCAGACAAGGATTCTGTTTTCCTAGTCGTAAACAATAACAGTATGACAGCAAATATGAAACTGAGCTTGGTGTTGATGCTATCACCTGACTCTCAATTCATGTTGTAGGAACGGAATAGCTCTGGAACAACAGCGAAGCTTGAGCTTTTAGGGTTCATTTCTGCTCAATTAGGTAACAATCCTTCTCATTTGTTTCTTTAGTAGACTACAATTAACTTTAAACATTCGGAGTGGTGGTAAAATAGATATTTTGGATTTTGCTGTCGAATGCAGGAGCGGTGGTGCAGATATTTGCTATCATTGTTTCGGGTTCCCTGGTCAATAATATGTCTCCACCTACTAAGACAGAATAGAGATGACAAGAGAGTTTGGGTATTGTCATCTGCGATTTCCGTACATGAGGGAGACATTTAGAATTTTGAAGTTTTTGCTCCACCAAATGAATAGTTATATAACGTTGTTTACTTCAATAATTTTGTTGAATATTCGAAAGACATTTTTGATAGATTGACGCACCATACGAATGCTACGACGGGAGGCGGACCTGAGATATGTATAAGATAAGAAAAAACTAAAATGATTTTGATCAAAAAAAGAGGAAAACACTAAAATGACCACTTTTTGTGGAAGAGGGAAAAATGATATACTGCTTATATAAAGTCTACTTTTGAAGAAAGTGTATCAGTAAATCAAAGAAACTTTTGTAAAATTTCTTTCGACAAATCAATATACTGATTTCAAAAAAGTTTTACAGCAAATAAAAGACTAATAAGATATAAATCATTACTGTAACAAGTAAAAGCTGAAAGAAAAAACAATACTGTCTACCGTTACTTTTTTACCTATAAATACTACACACAATTTCAAGAGACAATAACTTCACCTAGATACCTTACAAGATATTCTGCTAATTGTTTATAGGTTCGCCTTGAGAGAATAACTTCACCTAAAAATCTTTCAAGATCAAAGATAGGAAAACATAATTGTTTATGGAGCTAATCGATTGGCCGATCCCAATATATTTTTGGGATTACATCCCGCATAGCTAAACTGAAGATGTATGGTTAAGGCGATGGTGTAGCAGATCAAAAGTAGTTCATGAAGTGCGACATAAACGACATGGATCGAATCACGTAGAAAGACAAAGTCATTAAAAGGAAGATTTAATGAAGAGTCTTATAAAAAGAAAAACTTAGAGAAGAAGCAATCGATTCAAAGAGTAAAGGAAAATTGTCTTAAAAATAGAAAGTTTCCATTAGATAGAACTTTAGGTCTAGGGTTTCATCTGTGATTATAAAAGAGGTTCTTGGCATTGTGTTGCCGGTTAACACATAAAGAGAGCTTTTAGCAATAGAGGTTTTGTATGTCTGGAGAAGGAGAAGCAAAGCATTTAGGGGTTATGAGCTTAAGTGGTCCAGAGACTATAGGTCTGTGAACATGTAGGATAGTCAACAAGTCAAGGTTTATCTTGAGCTTGGTTGAAAAGATTGCTTTTAGAAAGAACTTGTATGTGCTCTTAAAAGGATTAATCTAGTCGACTTTCTTGGAATTGCTTATCCATGGGTTATTGTGTGTTCTAATTTGTGTAGCTCATTTATCTTACATTAACAATTGGTATCAGTGCAGGTATATGTACTTTGTTTTAAACAGGTAGGATCCTGCGGAGTAAGATGGAGAGCTATCAAGAGTTGGTAAAGAACTCAAAGGTAATTCTGGAAGTAGGAAACTATGGTTTCTGGAAAGCACGCATGAAGTTTATCATTAAGGGTATAGACCCATTGGCGTGGAATGCTGCAGAATCTGGATGGACTTCACCAGTTGCAATGGGTGATTATGGGAAAGAAGTGCCTAAGAACGAAGAGCTCTAGACAGATGAAGAAAACAAGATGGCATAGTTCAATGCTAGAGCTTTAACGGTTATTCACTGTAGTGTTGCTAGAAAACAGTTTGAACTGATTCAAGGGTGTGAAGCAGCAAAATATGCATGGGACATTCTGCAGAGGCACTTTGAAGGAACGTTAAAAGTTAAAAGTTCAAGAAAGGACATGCTTGCAACCCGATTTGAAGAACTGAAGATGGAAGAAGATGAATCAATTGGTGATTTCAGTTCAAAACTTAGCTCATTGGCACAAGAAGCGCTCACCCTTGGAAAAAAGTACAAGGAAAAGAAACTGGTGAAGAAGTTCCTGAGGTGCTTACCGGCTAAGTTTATGCCTTACAAACCAGCGTTGAGGATTTCCATGAACACATACGAGATGCCGTTTGATGAAATAGTTGGTATGCTTCAAGCTCATGAGATGGAAGTATCTGGAGGAAAGAAGGAACCAAAGGGAATTGCTCTTCCCTTAGTTGAAAGGGAACAAACGAAAGATGATGATCCAGTGAGCATGTTGGTCAGAAGATTCGACAAGGCATTAAGAAAAGTAGAGCAAGGACAGAAGAGGTTTGTTCTTGGACGAAAGGCATCGGACTCAGACAAGAGTCCAAGGAAGAATGAGGCAAAATGCTACGAATGCAAGGGAATTGGTCACTTCAGGACTGAATGCCCAACCGTGAAGAGAAGGGAGTTTCAGTGTCACGCATGAAAAAGATATGGTCACACTCAAGCTGAGCGTGAAGATGATGGAAAAAGAAAGCAAGAGAAGTCTATGATAGGGATCAATGACAACGAATCAGACAGCGAGAGTGAAGACGAGGTTGGCAACTTTGTGGCATTTCTCAGAATAGTGGAATGCAATTCAGAGTCAAAGAGTGATGCAAAGATAGATACTGAGTTAGATGAAAGCTACAAGCAGGTTCGTGAGGCGTTAGTCAAACTCAGTGCCGAGAACCATTCACTAATCAGGGAGAAGGCTCGGCTGGAAAGTGAAGTTGCTAAGCTACATGATGAGTTGTGTAAAAAAGCTGAGCTAGCCAAAAAAAAAGTGTAAACTTAATCAGAGAAAAATTGACTCTTGTCAAACAAGCTGAAGAAGTCAGAGAGGAAATAAATGCGGAAAGAGAAAAAGCGAACAAGAAATATTAAACAATTTTTTTTTAGTAAACGACTTACTTACATGTAAGTCGTCCATGATTTTATTATGAGATTCTAGTTAAACCTTGCTTATCTTAGATGACATATGTGTAAGTCATCAGATAGATGACTTACATGTAAGTCGTCTAGAAAACAAAATTTTTAATATTTCAATTGCAAAACTAACCTGAGACAACTTACATGTAAGTCATCTAGAAAAAATAAAATATTAATTTTTTAATATTCTTTTGGACGACTTACATGTAAGTCGTCTAGGAAAAGTCAAAATTTTCGACACATTCTGGTCAAATGCAAAACTAACTCGTTTACGGGTAAGTCGTCTTGAGTTTTTTTATCAAACTAAGGTGGACGACTTACATGTAAGTCGTCTAGGTTAAATTTCAATTGCAAAAATAACCTAAATGGACGACTTCCTAGAAGTAGTACATATGACCTCCATGGAAGTCGTTTGCGTTACTGTTTAATAAACTTTCATTTTCTCGAAACCTATAAATACTTTTTAATATTTTTTTGTTAATTTATGTATATTAGTCAATATTATGGCTACTGAATGAATTTTATATTAATTGGTTATACTTTTGTGGTTACCAACCTTCATGTTTATTAAAGTTTCTAGTTGATCCGAGAAGACCTCCGTGGAAGTCTTATACGCTAGTTTTTAAGTTTTATATGCTAGTTTTTAATTTGTATTTTTAAGAGTGTTAAGTAACTTCAAGATATATAAACTCATATTTTCAAAATATGTTTTCTCCCTTTGTTTTACTAAGTTTGAGTAAGTTTTTCAACACAAACTGGTAAACAATGTGATATGCTTTGACTAGTTGCTATTGTTTGTTTCTATCTCTTAAGTATTATTGTTATAGACACCAATGATGATTATTGTTATGAGTTGGAAGAAGTATTAAAACATTGTAACAATATGAGGCTACCAAAATTCTTATTTATGAAGATGAGAAGAAGATCATTGGTGTTTATTATTGCATATCGGAGATCTAAATATGAGAACACTACAAGAAATAAGGGTTTTAATAGCACCCGTAAAGCGCTATCATACAATACCATAGCGTTGTAGAAAGCGCTTCAACATCGGCCGCGATAATAGGTCTCTTACATTGCATAGTGCTTTTTCAGTTTGCTATTGATATTTAATTATTAATAGCGATTCGCGTTATGCAATTGTAATATTTTATTATAGCGTCTCGAAAATGATATTATAAACATATTAATTAGATTTTTCCAATAGTAAAGATAGAAAAATATTTTGTGCTATTATTTATTAATAAAAATATTCAAAATTTTATTAATATTAGTTACAAATTGATTTTATTTTTCTAAATATAGTATTTAATTCAAAATTTTGAAATAAAACAATTAAATTTATTGAAAATTCCATAAGATAAACATCTTGTTCATATAAACCACAACAAAACATAAAAACTATAAATCTACAGCTAATAAACCTTTACAATCATCCCTAACATAAACACTATCATCATCATCAGAAGCTTCATCACCCAAAGCATAAGCCAAAACATAATTAACCTAAAGCTAAACTGATCCTCCTATCAAGTCCTCTGCTACAATTCAAAGGATGGACGTCCTGAGTTGCTTCTATGTGATTTCATCTGCCTTTATGCCCACGTCTTTCTATCCTCTCACTGCCTTTAGACTCATGAATCTGACCAGTAGCTTGATGAAGTTCATGTCTTTCTTCCTTAATAAATTCTTCTATCTCCTAAAATGGTACCTAAAACTGAAAACAATACACAGCAGTAACAAGTTCTAAAGAAAAGAAACAATCAACTTGCAACACAGACAGATTCAAAGCGACATTCAAATCCAAATACAAACAAGTTTATGATTTACTTGTGTTTATTAGAGTGAATTATATGTATTAATTATTTTAAAAGAATCATTTAATAAATAATTTTTGGATGTGATAAAGAGATTTTATAAACACAATCTTTATTTTATTATGAAATTTCAAATTTACTGAACAATCATAAAATAATGTACTTTACAAATCATTTTTTTAAAAATTTAGTGTTTGAGGTTTAGAATTTAGATTTATGTTTAGATTTTGGATATGTTTAAGGTTAAATTTTGGGTTTATGGTTTGAAACTTGATGTAAAGTTTGGAATTAAGTTTTGGGGTTTAATTTTAGGATATACACCTCTAAAATTTTATATATATAAATATTTTTTTATCAAAACTCAAATTATCATTTTAATCCTTTTTAGGGTATGTTTAGGGTTTAGATTTTGAGGTAAAAATATTATTTTTGTTTTTTTTTGTTTTCTAATTTGTTATTAGTACTAGATTTTATTTTTATCATATAACACTCCCATACACTATCATAACCATCTCTCCAAGTTTCTAAATAAATACAAAACATATTAAAAATATATTTATATTTTAAAAAATTTATATTCTCGAAATTGCAATATAATAAAAATTGATTTATAGATTAAAATTATTTTATAAATTAAAATTGAATTAAAATTTATTCTTAAATTAAAACTAGTTTACATATACAAATAAATCAAAATTGGTTTAAATGTAAACCAAAAAGTAAACAAAAAAAAAGCTAAACCTAAAAAGAAACCTAACTCTTCATGCCTCCACCTCCATTGCCGCCGAGCTCCGCCACCACATCTTCA